TATTTCACAGGCTTTAACTGTGGTTTCAGGTGTGCAACATTGTTTGCTAACTCTCAATTGTCTATATGCACAAGGACAAAATTGTATCTCTACCTTAGCTAGCCCTGTGGCAGGAAACAGTAGAACCCAGCAAGGTACACTAACAATCTTCAATATCTGTACATCTTAGCTCACTTCCTATAAAAACAATAATCAAACCAAGGCCCTGGTACTTTGAATAACTTTCTTTGTATGGTATCATCTACCTCCTGAATTCCGGCCTCGAGATTGCTTACCATATTAACATAAATGTTAAAGAAAATATGATGCAAAAAGAAGACAATAGTTACTTTGTCAAGGGAAATCTGCAGTTTGTAGGATTCTTTAAGAGAATCTTGGATAAGTGAACTGCTTGCTTTTGTCTGATTCAAAGATTCAATCAAATCCTTATTTTCTAAAATATTGCCTTGAGATGTTGCAAGGGTCTAGAAGAAAAGTTGACAAAATATAGGGACATTATTATACATTTTAAAATAATCAATTCAAGAAAGTCTTCATTAATATCACTAGCTTAATGATGTTTATGAGAAAATTACTGTTTTTAAAAATATCAGCACTTATGGCCTTCTTATATTAAATGATTTAGCAAATCATTATATGATATTTATCATCATAACATTTTAGATGCATTAATTTTATCAATAAACAAAAATATAAATTAAATAATTTCATATAATTTCTTACCTTTCATTGCTTCTTAAAATGACAAGTACAAAATAGACAATTAAATGGTAGTGCATCAATACTGTATAAAGACATTAACTAAAAACTGCATGTCTTAAACTTTTCTCCTGAATATACAAAAGCCTGAATTTTCTTTTCAAAGCTATGTATTTAAATTTTTTTTTTAACCAAACAACCTTATCACCTTCCAATTACTCTCCATACACTTAATACACTTGTGAAATCTGCGATTTCATACTTGGAAACATTTTTCAAACTCATCTGTTGAATGCCTGACAGTAGCACCCACCCTTGCTTTTTTCTTCACCTCTTCTACATCATCAAATCGCTGTCCTTTCATATCCCTCTGCATTCACAGTGACGTCAGGTGAGTAAGGTGCGTGGGGCAGGAGAGGCATGCTGATTTTGCCAAAAAGTGGTGCACTGTTATGGCTACATGAGTAGGTGCATTGTCGTCGTAGTGGCAAAACCAGTCCCCCCATTTGCCACAAATCAGACCTTTTTTGTCACACACTGTTAATGCAATCTCTTCAGAACCTCTAAATCTAAAGCTTGATGAACAGTCTGACCTGGTAGAACAAACTCCAAATGCACTACAAGTCAACATTTTCATCCATTTGGGAAGATGACAGATGTCCAGAACGAGCTTTGTCATCAATCAACATCTCAGGGTTTTGAAATGAGTAAACCACTCCTACACTCGAGTTTTTCCCATAGCGCTGTCCTTGTAAGCTGTGTTCTACATCACAACAGTTTCTACAGCATTTTTCTCATGCAGGAAACAAAATTACACAGCCACACACTTTTCTCTTAAATAGGCCATTTAAAAAAAGAGGTTTGAGTGAAACTGTTTTTATGAAAAAATTCACCGTGACCAGAGAGAACCTTCCCAGGAGACACCACTGGGTGCACTAACTCAGCGAGTTGTTTGATGTTCAAGTAGAGGGGAAAACGCGTACTACATAAACTCCGCTCTGCCAAACAAGATTCCAGTTTGGGGGGTGTGGAGGGTGGTGGTCTTCCACCTCATATTCAAAAAAGTAACTGCTTTTATTTCTTTAAATTTTAACCCTGATGTACATGTATATATTGATGTGCTATTGAAATAACAAAAATGAGCTAATAGTTTTACTGAATTTAAAATACACATTTATATTCATTACAATTTAAAAAGCAATTTTTAAAATCTTAAAGGATGAAACTTCACCTCTAAAAGAGATTCTTCAAGCTTAGCTAGCTGTATTTTCTTATCTTCTTCCTGTTGCAACAGTTTTGTTTTCTGTTCCTCTAAATCAGGTTTCTCGTGCTGAATGGTTAAAGCCAAAAGCTTATAAAGAAAAACAATCAAAAAAACAAAACAAAAAAAAAAAAAAAAAAAGAAATTATTATTTGGGAAATAAATTTTAAAGAAAAAATTTCCCACTATTCCCACCACAGGCTTTCTGCCTTGCCTGAATAATATATTACTTAATATGTCTATTTCTACAGAGTTACAGTCTCAGAAACCCACTGAGGCAGTTCTAAACTGTCCTACAGGATCTCTAGGAGTCAGCATTGCCTCAATGGTAGTGTGTCTGCATTACAATATGTAATACATATTCCTAAAATTAGCTTTAATATTTCAAACCTAAAACCATAATTTATCTTAAACTGTAAAATCTTAACATACACATTTTAATTGGGTAAATATTATATCATATTAATTATATTTTAGTAATACTCTTAAAATATTCTGTGCAATTGTTAAACTTGTAACTTTAAAAGACGGACTTAATTGGTAAAATGTATAATTAAAAAATCTGCTATAAGCATATTCACTTATTTCTTGATAACCTAAGATCTACAAAGCCCCTCTTAGCAATAGCTATAGATAGCCTTTAGATAGAAAGAGCAATTTTGTGAATGAATTCTGGCAAGTTTTGAGTAACTCTTACAATATTTTATCTATAAGTATCATCCTTGCAATCAAATGATATTGCTTACAAAAATACAGGGTAATGTGGTATAGATAACATAGTTAAGAGAACATGTTGAAAACAAAAAGCTTTTGAAAAATTGTCCTAAGGTATAAGGTAGTAAACATATATATGATCATGCAAACCAAAAGAGGATGACTCTATTCCTATTGTTGTTGGCTGCCATCTAATCAGCTCCGACTCATGGGGACCCCAGGCGTAAAGGATACAATCCTTGGTTCTGCATCATCCTCATGGTTCTAACAAATTGGATAATTATTATCTGTAGGGTTTTCATTGACTGGTTTTGGAAGAAAATCACCAGGGCATTCTGTTCAATCTATCTTAGTTACAGCCTCCACTCAGACTTACTTAGCATCATAATAGCATGCAAGCCGTCACTGATAGCTGAGTGTTGGCTGCACCTGAGACACATTAGTCGGAATTAGAACTCCATCCATCCCACCAAAATTCTACCAACGAATCACCACTGCCTTCACTTGACTATTGTTAGATGGGCAGAAAGAAGATAATATTCAAAATATTAATAGGTATCATCCCCTTAAAGAGGAGAGAAATTGTGTTATTAAATATGTAAGGGAAAACATCTGGATATGAAAAATCATTCTAAGATCCATGCAATAATACTAAAGCACAATGAACCATATCCACAGATCACTGACTACACAGATGCACCTGTTATACTCACTGTCACTGAGTCAATTGTGACTCACAGTGACCTTAAAGGACAGAATACAATTGCTCCTCTGAGTTTCCACAAATCCTACAAATCCTTACAGGAATAGACAGTTACATCTTTCCCCTAAGGAACAGCTGGAGGCTTCAAACTGTTGGCCTTGTAGATTACAGCCAATACTCACCCCACTACGCTACTAAAGTTGGAAATTAAAGATCCTTAACTTTACCTATTAAATCTAAATTTTAAAACTGAAAATTAAAGCAGTTGATATTAACTTCTATAATTCCATTTTTCACATTAAAAATTTTAAAGTACTACAATAAAGAGCGGAGTGCAAAATTAAACATATACTCAGAAAATAACAATTTAACAATGTAAGCAACAAATATAAGTCCATCACAGACAATATGCAAAATAAACCAACATGCTTCACTCTAACAAGCATATTTTGAAATTTATCAATTTAAAGTGATAATCATATTAACAAAAGAACGTATTTGATATATACAACTACAAGTGATTTTTGTAAGAAATTATGAATATATATACCTGTCCGCGTAACCCACTTCTTGTTGTAGTGAAGTTAACCTCAGTAACAATGGAGGCTGCATCCGGTGGAATAAAGGGGTTTGGGTTTCTTGTTGACAAAAAAAGTCGAAATTCTTCATTGTAGTCAATAATTTTGTCACCTATTTGTACAACATAGCGTGGACCTAGTTTTGTTTTAAAAATGGCATAATTAGTTGGCCTGAATATGGTGTATTTTGCTACACAACACTCAAAAATATTATTTTAAACATTTTTCCAACAAAAAAAGCACCAGACAAAATCATTGCTATTGAGTTAATTCCAATCCTTCTTTAAATAGTTTGTATTATTTGCTGTTCAATAAGAACGTCCCACACAGCAAAAGTTAGGCTACTAAAAATATTATTAACCAGAATGCTCTATTACACAGCAATTAAGTCAGCAAGGGTAAGTAATTTTCATTAAAATGATCCTGAGATACTGACACAGCAGAGGAATAGCTTGTATTTCAGTATTAAAAATCTTTCTGAAACAGTTGATTTCAAGTAACAAAGCCAGAAACTCCCCATTTTAAATTATTTGCTATCTACTTCTAAATTTGTCAGTTAGAAAGGATTTATACACTAGCTTTGCAGATGTAACACTTAAAGAAAGAATGCATAAATAAAACCTAAGATTGTTGATGTCTGATAATTATAGTCAACACATTATTAACATCTAAAGGAAATACTGGGGCCAAGGAGCTTACACAGTGGTCAGAGACTATATCTTAATCAGGGTACTAATTAAGAAAAGCCACCTGCTGTGCATTTATGATAAGTGTAGTTTTCTGAAGGCATACTTATAGTCCACCTAATAGTGAAAAACAAAAGCCTCCCTGGGGATTAGGACAAGGAAAAGGTGGAATAGAGGATTGCTTTTATTCATCCTTTGATTGTATAACCCATCCATGTGTTATTTTGATACATTTAAAAGTATTTTATAACCAATACTTTCTTTTCTAAAGACTCTTTAATATAAGCCCCTTGGAAAATATCAGATGTCCAACTAAAAGTCTGACACAGTCTTAACTATATTGTCTTAACTTATATTGGAGTTAATTTGATTTTGGGGTTGTTGGGGGTTTTTATTTCTTCTTAAAATATGTACTGTATCTGAAAGAACTATGGAAACAGAATGACTAAAATCTTTTTGACTAAAATCCTTTTCAGGTAAAGCCCCAGATTTTGTGACTGGTCATGGGATTTAAACCAGGATCAGCCTTTGCTGTTGTTAGTTTTATCTCGTCAAGATATAGTCCCATAACATAGATGGACAGTTAGTGTGCTTGGACGTACTGATAAATTAAATGGAAAAATTCATGAAGACTTATCTTCACTACCTCAACACAGTGAGTGCCTTTTTATGAAGTCTCTTTGCATCTACCTGTTTACTTGTTAGTACCAGTTTACCTTTCCTGAATATAATAGTGAGATTAGAAAAGTCAGTCAGTTATAAAATTAATGAATTCAGAAATAATAGTTACTCTCTGGAAAGGCCAAACATTTACCTTGAGCAACAAGATCTCTTCTCAATAATGGATAAAGAACAGGTTCTACACCATCCAACTCTTGTATTATAAGGGTTTTCCCAAAACGAACTGCCAATTCAAGGGCTGTGATAAAGTTACTATCCTAAAAGAAAGGAAGACACATATTAATTGATTTATATTTCAATATGTATAAAGGTCCTTATAGATTAGAAATGGAGATATTGATGTGCCTAATATTAATATTTGCAAATATAATATTAATGCTAATGATTTAAATTTTCTGTGGTTGTTTTGTAGTCATATGTACTTTAGGAGGTATCATTTTGTTTTTTGTTTTGTTTAATCATTTTATTAGGGGCTCATACAACTCTTATCACAATCCATACATGCATCAATTGTGCAAAGCGCATTTGTACATTCATTGCCCTCATCATTCTCAAAACATTTGCTCTCCACTTAAGCCCCCGGCATTAGGTCCTCATTTTTCCCCTCCCTCCTCGCTCCCCACTCCCTCCCCGCTCCCCCTTCCCTCATGAGCCCTCGATAATTTATAAATTATTATTTTGTCATATCTTGGCCTGTCCGACGTCTCCCTTCATGCACTTTTCTGTTGTCCGTCCCCCAGGGAGGAGATCACTTGTCGATCCTTGTCATCGGTTACAAGGGAGGTATCATTTTGGTTGAATACTTATCAAATAAATTTCATCATTTAAGACTTAAATTTTAAGAAGGCATTTACATTAACAATATGCTATTTTCTAATTTTTACTGTAATTTACAATCAATAATAGAAACAAAATTTCACATTCTATATGCAACAAGTTACCCATTCCAACATTATTAGGAGTAACAATGGCTATAATCATAACCAAACACTGGAGGGGGAGAGAAAAGGCCGGGTGAATCCTAGTAAACTTTTCTTAGTGTGATAGATTTAATCACCATGAAAGAACTCTTAGACATATAAGTAAGCAGAAATGTTGAGGCAGTCTACTCAGGGAAATAGTAGTTTTAAAAATCATCCCAGGCCTCTAAGGTTATTATTTTTTTAAATTCTGCATAGTAGCTAAGAGCTCCTAATACAAGTGATCTATAATATTAAAGTATTTTTATACATTATCTAACTTGCAATTATCTGTAACAAAAAGAAATTAGGTTAATCATTTAATATGTGAGGAAATTTGAAGATGTTATTTTTGAAGCACCTGAAGAATATTTTTGGATATCCATATAGCTGGTCTTCTCTAAAATATCCTGACCAAAAAGAATTTCCTCATCAACAAAAAAAATGACAGAGAAATGTCACTACCAAAAGACTATAATTACATTTCACTGACCAATATGTCAATTCTTATGGAACATCTAAGATGTTTGTGGGTGAGTTATAGAAATAGGAAATTAATAGAAACATGAAGATTTTAATAGCATGTTAAAAGGCCAGAGGGTTTCTTGATTCTCCTGGCTAAATTAATAACCTTTAGTTTCTTAGCTGCTTTTGCTTATCTTTTTACTCTATCATCCCACACTCATAATTTAATATAACAGTTTATTTGTCTATCTGACCTAGCAAAATTTCATCTCCTTGAGGGCAGGAACTGTGTCTACTTTTCCATAACTAAAACCTCAGAGCTTAGAGCACTGCTTAGCAGACACACAGAAAAGACATAAATACTCTCCCTTTTTCACAAATTAGTAACAGAAGCTAAAGGAGTTATATCACACATATAACCCCTGATAAAAGCAACATAGTGCAACCTCAAACCACCTGGAATAGAAATTCCAGAAGATCCAGAAATCACTCTATTGAGCATACATCCTAAAAAACTAAGTCTGTAGGCAACTGGACATCCCCTTACAGAAGGGTCGCAGGGAGGAGACGAGCCAGTCAGGGCGCAGTGTAGCAACGATGAAACATACAACTTTCCTTTAGTTCCTAAATGCTTCATCCCCACTATCATGATCCAAATTCTACCTTACAAATCCAGCTAGACCAGAGGATGTACACTGGTACAGATAGGAACTGGAAACACAGGGAATCCAGGACAGATGAAACCCTTCAGGACCAGTGCTGAGAGTGGCGATACCAGGTGGGTGGAGGGAGGTGGGGCAGAAAGGGGGAAACGATTACAAGGAGCTACAAATAAACTCCTCCCTGGTTATGGGGAGGAGAACATATATGGACAACAGAAAAGTGGGTGAAGGGAGATGTAGGACAGTGTAAGATATGACAAAATAACAATAATTTATAAATTATCAAGGGTTCATGAGGGAGGGGGAGTTGGGAGGGAGGGGAAAAATGAGATGAAACCAAGGGTTCAAATTGAAAGCAAATATTTTGAGATTAATGATGGCAACAAATGCACAAATGTACTTGACACAATGGATGTATGGATGTATTGTGATAAGAATTGTACGAGCACCCAATAAAATGATTTTTAAAAAAAACTAAGTCATAACAGTAAAACATACACACACCTATGTACATTGAAGGGCAGTTCACAGTAGCAGAAAGATGGAAGCAACCTAAATGTTGGGAAAGAAACTTTATACACAAAGGAACACTAAGCTGCACTAAAAAATCATGATGAAACAGTGATGTGTCTCATGACCTGGTAGACCTGGGGATAGTTGTGTTAAGTGGAATTAACATATTTTCCCAAGAAGAAAAATATGCTAAGAGCCCACTGTTAGATGGAAAACAAGATAAATTCTTGCAAGTCAAAGAGAAAAGTCTTTGAAGTTTACCAAGCAAGAGAGGGCAAAGGGAGATAGCAGGAGGCTAGACAACAGACAGATATTAACTTGGGTGAAGTAGAAGATAATAATCCACGAGAGAGAAAGGAAATTAAGGAACCAGGGAAGGGTAAACTATTAGGGGCTTTTATTGTAGTTTAAACTGTTGATTATAAAATTGATGATCTGAAATGCAAACTCTCACCTAATTACCCATGAAAACAATCATTATGCCTTTAAATGGTTTATTGGAGGCAAAGAGTTAATAATGAAAATGACAGAATAACTAACCTCAAAAAAATTTAAGTTATACATTGCAATATGAATTACGGTGAGTATATTAACATTATGATTAATATTACGTATTGGGACAAATAAATCTCTGAGTTCAATGATTTCCAACAATCAGAAGGCAAAATAAAAGAGGGGGGAAAGGGGATAAAACAATAAATCTTTGAAAGTAAAAAATAAAGATGCATTTATTTGTCCCGACTCCATACCAGAAAAGTTACACAGCTGAGACTTAAATTTATGTTTCCTAATTATACACTCATAGTTCTTTCCACCATAAAATTCCATATGAATTTGATAACTAAAGTATATATGCACCATACCTGCTGATTAATAACTTCTAAACGTGAGTCTTTCAGATGCGTCTTTAGCCATTCTGTAGCTTGAGAAGAAGGGTCTATAAGAAATGGGCATACGTGACTCTAAAAGAAAGAAAAGAAATGGTTTTAACATTATATTCTTTCACATGGGAATAATTTATCCCACTCATTCATCAATTTCTGAATGAATTTTTCTTTCAAGCTTTGGAGAACACAATACCAGAAACCACATTAATAAATGTTATACCCCAAATCTACTGCCACTGAATCCAATCTGACTCATAGCAACACTATATAGGGTTTCTAAGGTAATAAATCTTTACTGGAGGAGTGTGCCTCAATTTTCTCCTATGGAGTAGTTGGTGGGTTTGAACCGCCAACCTCGTATTTAGCAGTTCACTGCTTTCTCAACAACTAAGAATTAGGTAACTGAATTCAACCATATGAAATGGCAATTGTGTATTAACAGTGTATATTAAGTGAGAACTCCAATCCCATTCTGATGTCTTTGCACCTCTTTTTTGGCTTTTAAGCTTGAACTATGGAATGAATATGACATATATAAAATCATAAAATGAATTATACAGTTAAGTAATCAATCCCCTACCTCTATATATTCTTCAACTGAACACTGCATAAATTCCTCACAAGTATGAGCTAATCATAAAAAGGTTTTCAAAATAATTAACATATTTATGTATATTTTAAAATAGATTGATTATTCTAATGAAATCTGTATAGAATATCTAAAGAGGATCATCCTAGAAGAGAAAATTATGTAAGTTTTATGTTAAGATTTAATGAGCTTAAACTAAATTTATTAGAGAACATCCTGTACTAATTAAACTCTAAAGTAGATAAACCAAAACCAAGCCAACTGCCATGGGGCTTATTCTGACGCACAGCACCCCGACAGGGCAGAGCAGAGCTCCCTTGAGTTTCCCTGGCAGTGAGCCTTGACAGGAGCAGACAACCTCATTCTTCTCCAGTGGAGCAGCTGGTGGTTTCAAACCAACGACGCTGCAGTTAGCAGCGTAACATTTAACTTACAGCGTCACTAAAATGCTCTGCACACAATGCCATTTAGAAGATGAAAGAAAGATGATTTGGTGAGTGTACATATATTAATAATACACTTTAAAGTCACCTAATAATAATTGCTGCCCAATACATCAGATTTAATAACAATAACTGACCTAACATTTCTTATATTTTTAATATTATTCGGAAAATGCAATGCAGTTGTGTGCTTTAGGATAAGGTGGCAGATATAAAAATTAGAGTAAATTGATGACTTACAATTGGAGCGTATCTAACAAGAACGAATATATTATCTCATGGCATAACAAGGGAGAAGTGAACAGTGGGGACCTGACGTTCTACAGACAAACAGTATTTTATCACTGACACGGTTTAAAATTTCTACCACCTGGAGATAGCTAAAAAGCTTTACTATGAAAGGTTATTTTAAATCAACTTTATGTGTTTTCCATTTTTTGACAAATATTGCATGCCCATTTTGCCTCAACCTAGGATGAGATGTTCTCAATACTCCTCCCCACATGTCACATCACTGAAAGACCTTCCTCCTTCCTATGTCTGGAGGTTTCGCTTACTGCTCCACCCTAGAAATGGACTACTTCTTCCCACAAACGCAAATCTACACGCGTCAATAGCCTCTTAAGTGTTCCCACATTATTATACCTAGGTGTTAGCTCCAATTTGAAGCTAGCAGTCACTTTGAAAATCTACTAGATTTAGTCTACGCACAAAAATAAATATTAAAAAAATTAGAGCTTACCCATGATTTCAAACCAATGATCTGTTGCAGTTAAAAAAAAAGAGAAAACAGAGGTGATGTTTGCAGATATCACATTCTGAGCACAGAAAATATGCTTAAGAACTTCAGCGAGTACTTCCAAGTCTGTGTTTATCCTACTTGTCTTCTCCAGAGAAAACTCAACAAACACTCTGAACTACTTGCCAGCTTTGTGCTCTATGATTACATGTAGTTACGTTGTACAGTCAACTATTAACAGATTCAAACATGTTGAGTTCCTATTGATTCATCCACCATATGTTGGATAAGAACATGAAGAATGCAAAAGTTAGTAAAACACATTCCCCTACCTCAATGATCTCATGTCTAATAAAGAAAAATGATCATTCCATAATCAAAAAGTATAGAAGCTGCTAGGGAAAAATCACAGGTGGAGCTGAGCAAAGCATCTAAGAAGCAATTCCAGTAAAACTAAGCCATGGAAAATGAACTGAACATAGCCAGGCAAAGAAGTCATGCAATGACAACAGCATGGTGGAGAGAGGATGGAAGGGCGTGGAAAATTCGGGAAACTGCCAGTAGTTGAGCATCACTGGAATACAAAGGGTGGGCAAAGATGAGCAAATTCAAATGGTAGAATCAAGAATGAAGAACTTTATTATGTGAGATATAAGAAGAGGCTATTTTTACTGGAAGCTTTGGGAACTAAAATATATTAATAGGTAATATTATGGTCAGAGTAGTGTTTTAGGAAGCTCAATCCAACAGCAGCAGAGGAAGTAGTACAGAGAGCAAGGGACCAACCAGTAGAGTAAGAATAATGTATTTATGCAAGTATAAAATGCAAAGACCTAAATTAAGTCACAATAATTATGAGGCTAGAACAGAATGAATGAATATGAAATACCACACCCTTAGCTACAACTTAATTCTAACGCTAGTTTACCTTAGAATTGATATAGAATATGAATTAAAATGAGTGTAACAAGTAACTACTGAAACAATTCCATAAATATGGCTATGTTTCGTCATAAAAAAATAAATCGTCATAAAAAATAAATAGGATTTTATCAGTACTAAACATGAACCTAGTCCTAAGTTTATTATTAAAATTCCATACACAATTTTCCATAGTCATTAGAAGACACAATTCAGAATAAAAACATATATATTTTCAATTAATATCATTGATTAAAAAAACTAATAACTACTCTGGTAAATGTTTTCTTCATAAAGGTTGTGCTTCCAGAATGAAAAAATGAAGACTACTGGATTTGTATCTTTTTTTCATTTGGAAACATTACTTTTCTTGGATTACTAAAACAGGGTGGTTATGTAACATTAGAGAACGAATAACAAAAATAATCAAAAAGCTATAGTTTGCTATTATTCAATGGAATTATTTACATATAAAAGAGGGTTTTAAAAAGTTCACAGGAAAAAAATCATTAGCTTTTCATTTTATTTTCCACCAACTAAATGAAGCACCCTTGTACATGTACAATTCCAGATTCATAATTCTGGAATCTGATATAAAAAATGATGAAGAATATTAAAAATAAAAGACTAAAGTAAAATTGTTCAATCTACAGTCCAAGACTTCTATAATGGTAAGATACCATCCTAACAGTCAACTGATTACAGGGCTAATCAAAAGAACAAATGATTCCCAAAGTAAACATAGCCCAAAATACACATCTTAGGACATAAGCTTCCTAATGAGAGCCAGTTAGTGTGTAAGCTTTCTTTAAGACCACGGAACAAGGAAATAGCATGTGGACAGTAACAGAGGTTGCAAGGAGGGGAAAAAGACATTGTTATTACAGGATGTAACCTACTGAAATAGCATGAACAGAAAAAGAATAATTATTATATTTATTCCCAGAAATTATATTCCCAGATCCATACGAGCAATGGAAACAAGATTGATGGTAACAATCACACTGTAGTCAAAATAGTTACTTGCTGGACACAGAACTTTGAATTTGGTTTTTACATTCTCTGCCAATAAGCTACTAATACTTTCACTTTTACACCATGTGATTTGGAAAGCACGTAAGAGAAAAATCAATTTTCCACAATATGCAAATCGTCACCTCAAAACATTTTTCACCTTCAGTTCATATAGTTCTATTCTGCAAACAGAATAAAAATGAAAATATATAATTAATCTTTCCTTACTCATAAACAGAGCCCTGGTGGTGTAGTGATTAAAACATTTGGCTGCAAACTAAAAGGATGGCGGTTTGAACCCACCAGATGCTCAGAAAGATACGTGACTGCTTACGTAAAACACTACAGCCTTGGGCACCTTATAGGATAGTTCTGAGTCCAAACCAACCCATGGCCACTACGTACTTACAAACACGTAAGAAAATTATCTACTAACTCAAATTACCATATACTCTGGAATCCGTTTCCCAAAGTGGGCAATACCGCCTTCTGGTGGCCATTAGATCAATCCAAAATAAAAATTAATAATAAAAACCCACTGCCAACATAGCATAGCACATGGAACTCATAGCATATCTTTAGGGCAGGATATAACGGCCCTGGTGGGTTTCTGAGATTGTAACTCTTTTCTCCAAGACTGTAACTCTGATGAGAACAAAAATCCCCATCCTCCCCGCCCCCCGTCAGCTGGTGGTTTTGAACTGTTGATATTGTAGTTAAAAGTCCAGTATATAACCCACTACACCACCAAGGCTTCTAAGAAGGATTTAAGGGAGCTTGAAAAACAGACACCTACACTTTACCCTAGACTGCGGTTCACAGTACAACAGTTTCCATGGCCAGGGGAGCACTCAGTTGTTTTGTTTCTGCAAGGAGTCCGTAGTCAAATAAGCCTGGGATCCTGTGTTCCAGATGAAGACACTATACAATTTATAAACCCACTGCTGTCAAGCCTATTCCAGTAATAGAAAACATACAGCAAGGAGTGGAGCCACCTAGTAAGGTTACCAAAGCTGTAATATTGACAGGGATAGAATCTCAGGTCTTTTCTCCCAAGGAGTAGCTTGTAGGTTAAAATCAATGAGTGTCTCACCACTGCACTACCAGTGCTCCTTACATCCAAGAAGTCCCCAGGAGACAAATATCTGACTATGGAGAAGCCCACCATGCTCTTTAACAGTATGTAACCCGGAACTAACTGTATACAGCTAAAAACAAAAACAAAAACTAAGCTCATTGCCAATGAATCAATTGCAACTCATGGCAATCCTATAGAACAGTGGTTCTTAACCTTCCTAATGCCACAACCCTTTAATACAGTTCCTCATGTGTGGTGACCCCCTTAACCATAAAATTATTTTTATTGCTACTTTATACTGTAATCTTGCTACTGTTATGAATCAGGTGACCCCTGTGAATGGGTCGTCCGGCTCCCAAAGGGGTTGTGACCCACAGGTTGAGAACCACTGCTATAGAACACAGTATACCTATACCTGTCCCAGAGGGTTTCTAAGGCTGTGGTCATTAAAGATGCTGACTCCTACACATTTCCACTGCAGCCCAGCTGGTGAGTTCAAACTCTCAGCCTTTGTGTTCAGCACCAAAGCACTTAACCACTGTATCAACAGGGTTTTGTGATCCATGGCCATGGAGTTGATTCCAACTCACAGTGACCTTTTAAAACAGAGAAGAACTTTGTCATAGGATTTCCAAACTGCAAGTCTCTATAGAAGAGATTGCTACATTTGGCTGAGAGGCTGGTAGCCTAAAAGTCAACTACTGCTCTTTTAGTTCCTTCCTTAACTACATTCTCCCCAGATCACAAAGAAAATGCTGCCAATGAGTCAATTCCACCCATATTCAAAGTGACCCAAGAGGGCAGAACAGAACTACCCTATAGAGTTTCTAAGGCAGCAAATCTTTATGGAAGCAGGCTGCCTGCTACCTCTGCTCCCCTTAAAGCAGGTGGTGGGGTTCAAAACTCTGACCTTCTGGTTATCAGCTTAATGTTTTAATCAATTCACCACCATAGCTCTTCTTTCTTAAGAATACTACCCCTTAAGAAGTTAGAATATTTTGCTATCATGAAAATAATGCCACTTTAATTTATACTTTTATATTATGTTAAAGTTGTAGGTTCACCAACTAAATCATATATGGATTTTTCATTTGCAAAGTATTTTTACTTATACGTAACGAAGAAAGAAAAGGTAAATGCCTAAGAATTTGGAAAAGAAGTCAAATTCTTTTTTAAGCTTCAAGGCAAAACATTTCTAATAGGAAATTATGATGGTTAATTACCTGCAAGATAACAAGAGCATTTTCTATGGAAAGGTCATCTGATGGTAGGCCTTCACTTTTCCAAATTAACTGTTCACTTTCAGTGCAAAGAAATCTCCTTAGATCAAATTCTGAAAAGTTAAAGATTATTAATAACTAGTTATCTAAAATTATCTTAAACTTTATGAAGGAAAAGGAATAAAACTACTTGAAATATACGGAAGTGAAAGTTTTCTAAATAGTCTTGGACGAAGGACCAGAAATAAAAGTGAAAAAGAGGACTAGGAGCTCCTCTGAACGAACATTCCCTAACTAATACACTAAGGAAACTGGAAGTGCCTCAATCTGATCACAAGACACGAAATTACTGTAAAAATTAAACTACTGAAAAGTTTAACAGCATTCAAGCAATATTAAAGCTAATTCATTAGTTTTAATATCATAGATTTTAAAGATAAATTATATAAAAATAATCCCCAGAAATTAAACCAATTGAAAATAGCTCCAGTATCCTTTAACTTATAGCAAAATGTCATATGAAAAAAAATTAAGATAAAAATGTAAATTTTTAGTATTTTGAAATTTCATATTCATAAGTACAAACTTTCAAGGTCAGCTGATTTGGTCCACTCTTCCAAACAAGTTTTTCTCAGCCCCTCAGGCGCAGCGGAAAGGTATGTAATGAATGCAGCAGCTAGCTGCGCTCTCTTAGGGAGAGTCGCTAATTCATCAGTTATCTCTGCCACCTGAAAGAGAAAAGAAGTGAAGGAGAGCGTGAGAGAGCGAGAGAAAGGTGCATGTGGACATGCTCTAGTCAGGAAAAAACAAGCAACCCTCTAGATCAGATTGGACACTAAGTTAACAGTTCTTTCTGGTTTTAGTTATACCCCTGCCTTGACTATAATCATCAAAAATATAAGAATATAAAAAGACTTCAGACATTGCTGAATATTCAGAATATATGAATCCTGGTACAGTTACTGAAAACAAACACACGTCTAATCCTAATGATTGTCATGAAAGCAGAATTTTCCTTCTGATCACAGTCAAATGTTACAAATTATACATAATCTAGCAAAATATGATTAAGATGATACAGAAATCATAGGCAAAAGCACAAATGAAAGAAAAACTACGAATACTCAATAATGAAAGTTTAATGTTTTCAGTACATAAGACGAAGCAAATTGAGTAGTGCTATCGCAGTGCATGAGAAGGGACAGAATGAATCACATGAGATGGACAGGGAAGATTTTACATGCCAAACAAAGAAGCTTCTACGAGAAATCTTCAAAAAAAATTGTGGAAATGCATATTATGAGGGAAAAAAAGTGCAAGGATTTCCATTGTTGCTCCCCAATAAACTCAAAATGATTTGATATGAATGACCCAATTGAAAAAGATCTAGTTTGAAGTACTAGAAGGATAAGACAACAGACTGAAAAGAGTTCCTCTCAGAAAACATGAATTCTACTAAAACTGAAGCAAAAAGATGGGAGGAAAGATGCCAAGCCACATGAAAAGTGCCCAGAAGCCGGAGCTCCAAAGAGGGAAAGAATTTCCTTTACAGACGACACGGACAGAAAGACTTCCACTGGGGCCGTCACACTGAACTGCGACTTGGAGACTGCCAAATTATAAGAAGATACATTTGGTTTGTTAAAGCCAAAAAATAAATAAATAAACAATAATGGAAATATTGAGAATATTCACATTGTTAAGACTGTATTCAATGTAACTGGACATCACTGGCTACACTCATTGACTGGGAACCTAAATTGCTGTGCAAACCTTACCTACAACACACAAAATATTATTTTTTAAAAGATGATACAGATGAGAGGTATTTACAAATGGATATGAGAATAAACACAAAAGAGCATAGAAATACTCTACATTTAAAATTTTTGATTCCTATAACTAGGATATCCTAAATAAGACACAGGAAATAAAGATTTGGGTTGAGTAAAAGAAAGAAGTTAATTGAAATATATTAAGTTTGAGTTCCTGAAAAAACAACAGTACAAGCAACTCAAGTATGCCTGCGGATATGATCTGAAAAATTAGCTGTCTAAAATTATAGCTCTGGTCATGAGCATGGCATGCAGGCTATTCATAAGAAGAGGTGAAATAATCAGAAGCAGTTGCCAGAGGGGAAAAAACTGAGAAGGAGAATATTGAGGGCAGTCAACATTTTCTCAGTAAGCAGATGAGGAGGATGTAGTGAGGGAAGAAATTTAATTTGTTAAAAAACGAACATAGGGACTGGAAAGAAGAGATCCGATATTTTCATATTTGATGTAATGCAATAAATACGAGGGGGGTACCTTCACCAAAAGGATTTTTTTAATTCAAAGCTATGCATTTATTTATTTGTTTGTTTGTTTGTTTATTTTATAAAGCAGCCTTATCACCTTAAACATACTCCCCATTACACTTAATACATTTGTCAAATCTATGGTTCCATTCTTGGAAACATTTTCAAACTCGTGTTTAGATTGTTCCCTCATATTTTTCTTCACCTCTTCTACGTCATCAAATCACTGTCTTTTCATGTCCCTCTTCATTCTTGGAAACAAAAAGAAGTTGCACAGAGCGAGGTCAGGTAAGGAGTGTGGAGTAAGAGAGGCATGCTTTTGTTTTTTTGGCCCAAAACTGGCTCACTGAGATGGCTGTGTGAGCAGGTGCATTGTTGTGGTGGCAAAACCATGCCGTCTGCCACAACTCAGGTCTTTTTTGTTGCACGCTGTTATGCAATCTTTTCAGAACCTCTAAATAAAAAGCTTGATTAGTAGTCTGACCTGGTGAAACAAAGTCCAAAAGCACTATCCCCCTCACATAAAGAACAACACAAAAACAAATGAGCACTGTCATGATCTCTGATTTCACTTGGGTTTTTCTGAATGAGGTGGCAGTGGCATCTTTGGCTTGGCTGAGGTTTGCTTTCAGGGTCGTAAGAATAAGCACCTTGTCTCGTTACCAGCAATGACCCTGAAAACAGTCTGGGTTGTTTCAGGGCTGTTCTTTCAAAGCCGCATGTGTCCAAACAAGGCTCTTTTTCCAGGTCAGTCCGCACCGGAGGCACAAACTTCACAGTGGCCCTTCTCATAAAA